TCTCTCTCTCTCTCTCTCTCTCTCTCTCTCTCTTTGTCTCTCTCTTTCTCTCTCTCTCTCAATCAGTGTCTTTATGTTTCATATTTTATACTTTTACATGCAGACTTTTTGATTTTCTAAGACATTCTAAGACTGTCAGATGCTCTAAGACTGTTAGATAGATGTTCTAAGACTGTTAGAAATATGTTCTAAGACTGTTAGAAATATGTTCTAAGACTGTTAGATAGATGTTCTTTGACTGTCAGATGTTCTAAGACAATACTGACAAGGATAACAGAAGGTGCAGTTCTGTCATAAAAATTTACCCCTTTTCCTCCCTCTCTCTTTTCTACAGACAACAGGACAGCCAGGAGTTTTTGCGCTATCTACTGGAGGGCCTCCATGAGGACGTGAACCGGGTCACCAAGAAACCTGTGCCGATTATTCTCGACGATGATCAGCTGGAGAAGAAAAAGTAAGGTTGTCTGTAGGGGGGCTCTTGTGTTCTAGAGATTATGGTGCTGGTCTCTCTTTCAATAGGTCCTGGGTTCAAAACATGACAGCGATGGGGAAAAATTTTCTTCTAAAAAAAAATTTTCTTAAAAAAAAATTCTCCTTTAATCCCCTTTCTTGCTCTCTAACCATGTTCTATCGTCTGCTTTTGCCTCCACTTTCTGCCCTCTCCTTGCCCCCTCTTGTCTCCTTATTCTTTCTGCAGCCTCTCTACTGTTACTAACTGGCTCTTTCTTAAGGCTCTCTTTCAGCCACACCCCTGAGGCTGTCTGATCTCGTATGGATTGCTCAGCCCTGCTAGACACAGATTAGATTAGTTTCTGTTAGGGTCATAGAGAACTACAACACAAATATGTCGTAAGTGCCGAAGATTAGAGGTGATACCAGAGAGTAACGTACAAAGAAAAGGAGGAGGGATACGGGCAATAGATGTTTGATTTGAAAGACTGAGCACCCCGGCAGTCGCACACAGACACAGTTTAGACTAGTGATTGATCGCCCTATTTTTCTAGGTCTAAGAGGCTAACATTTTTGTAGTGCCCACCCATACGTATTTACAAGTGGGTCATTAAATAATACCTGTGATCCCCACCACCCACCAAATGACTGAATCAGCCACAAGTGAGCTAGACTCTATATTGCCTAGGTCGGCAAGCACTGGATTTGACTGTGTGCTTGGTCCCTTTCTGACGTACAGGGTGATCCAAAAAAAACCCTACAAATTTTTTAATTAGTACTTTCCTACACACTGAAGTTTTGCCTTTCAAATTTATACACAACATTTGGAAGTCAAAAGGAATTTGTTTGATATTCATTTTAGATAAATCCACAAAATAGTTTTTCTCTACGAAGCGCATAAAAAAAACCCATTTTCAGCTATCATGTCTCCATTTTTGGAGCATGACGCTCTAGTTCATATTAGGCCTACCACTAAAAATCCCAACAATTGTGCCATATTGCAAACTACAGTGGTCTAACAGGCCAACAGAAGTTTGCAGATAATTTTTCTCAAGTTTCCTTTACCTGCTGAGATCATGGTTAAGATTAATAAAGAGCAAGAGAGCCTTTGATATTGAACATCTTCTCACCACCAACTCATTCCGTAAGTTGCGCTCAAGGTACGGAAATAATGTTAAAGTGCCCTTAAGGCCTTTTTTCATGTCAAGGGTGGAAATTGTCCATCACTTGGGACCTGTAGAGAATCAGAACAAAAAATTCCCAGACAAAACGACCACTTAAGGTCAAACATACTCCGTTTGCTCCCTTTTAGACGTCACCAGGGTGCAAAATTCAGTTGATGAGCCCCATAAGATGTCTGTCCGTAGGCGATTTTTTTCTTTTTTAAAATGATATAAGACGTCTTTTGTTCAGCCCCATAAGATGGCTGTCCGTAGACGATGTCTGCAGCAATGACTTTCCTACATCTCAATGGTCCCCATTCCCAAGGCAGATCTTCATCTACAACTGTACCATTTTCCCGTTCGCGAAGCTATCAGAGGATAGCAATGTGTTCATGATTCCTCGATCATCTTGAAAAGCGTAAACATTTTCCTCTATCCCATTTGGTTCCTTGGTAAAGCCCATATTCACCTTTCAGGTTATGTCAACTCCACAAATGATTCTCTTTGGGCAACCTCACCCCACCCCCACCCTCCCATTGTCTCTAGAAACAGCTCCATACTGTAAGGTGCACAGTGTGTGTAGCTTTGAGTACTCATGGTTGAGTGGATCCTTGTGTTTGGCCACCTCTGAACATTACGAATGACTCGTTAAAATGTGTCGAGTCCAAAGGAGAACATATATGCCTTTGGTTCACGGAATTCCAGAATTTAAAAAATATATTTTTTACCTCTGTAGGAGAAAAGAAATATTGTTTAAAGTTTACAGGGATGGAAAGATTAGATGTTAAAAATAAAAAGAGAGGAAAAAAACAAAAAATCATTTCTTGGCTTTCCTTACAATATCTTTTAAATTGGTACATTTTGCATTTATAGGTGGTTTTTATAAAAGCCATTTCCGTTTTCAAAAATAAGTTTCTTTGTGAATTTTATGTCAAACAAATTCCTTTTGAAGAAATTACAATTGTTCCAAGTTACAACATCCTATTACAAAGTTTGTGCGAGATTTAAAAAAAAAGTTGTACATTTTTTAAAATTACCCTGTTTATCGTCGCGCTCATAAAATAAATGCTCAAGTCATTTTAGCAATTTTGAGAAAATGAGAAAAAACTTTCTGTTGAACAATTAGCAATAGGAAATGCTTGAATGTTGATACACTAGATTGATTTTATATTTGGATTTTTTTTGTGTCCAAGTGAACTGTATCACCAAGCTGGCTCTGCTCTTCACTTGAGAACCAACAACTACACTCCGGCCAAAAATGACTTACTTAGGCAATTATGTTATGAGTGTGCACATGTGACAATATAGTGTTGTTGCCTAAGAAAAGACGTTTTGTCCAAGTTCACCGACTTCACCCAGTTGTTAATGGGATCGTAGTTTTCACAGGGGCTGAAATATATAATGGACATTTGTGTCACGACGCGGTGTAGTTGGGAATTCTCATTTTTTTGTCATGTGGAGTTATTGGTATCATCTTAAAGTGTGTTCATTTTCTTGCTTTTGATGGACAAAATACTCATTTTTCTTGAATAGATGTGAAGAATATATTTTCAGGTGAAGGGGATGGGGTTGCTTGATTTGAGAGATAATAATAAGCTAGAAAATAGCGGCCAAAGTTTGGTGACTTCCATAGCTTAATTAAAACTCCTTGGAAACTAAAAATTTACATTTTTTGGTGCCAAAAATCGTTTTTGAGTATAATTTGAACAGAATTGTTTTTTTAAATGGACATAAGAGATGCTGAGCCCCCGAAACCCCCAAAATTTGATAAAAATTGCCAAAGTGGTAAAAAAAGCCAGTTTCTTCGATTTCATTATTTTGACGATCACCTGATTTCACCAGGCGCCTCACATTTGTATTTTTTCCCCCATCTGCTGCAGTGATAACGGCAAAGCTCAAGACTATTGGAAGGCTTATCTGAATCGAGACAACAGCTTGATAGTGGGTGAGTTTTGGCATTTGTCTTAACAGTTAGGGTATTGGTTTTCACTAAGCTTTTATTAAGTAAAGAACATTCCCATTTTCATCCTTTCTATTATTACACTACCTTGATTGCCTATCTCCATGTTTAGATATTTGTATCACCTCGATAAGGTCACCAATGAGGAAGTGATAAGGAAAACAAGACAGAGCCCAGTCAGAGATGAGGTAGGAAGAAGAAGAAGGCTGAGGCGATGGATTGGACATACTTTCAGGAAGTCAGGCAGCTTCATAACAAAGAAAGTGTTGGATTGGAATCCACTGGGTAAAAGATAAAGGGGAAAACTTCGTGGAACTTTGAGAAGAATCAGAGAAATTGATGTACAGAAAAGTGGTAAGGCCTGGAATAACTTCAAGAGGCTAACCCAGAATAGAGAAAGGTGGAAAGTGTTTGTTCGTGGCCTATATCCTGTTGCAGGGTGAGAAAGGCAACGATGATGATGCTCACCTGGACGAGTAGAATGAGGCCCGTCACAGATGATACAGTAGAATCTGTAATATATTATTTTGAATTTAGACGTAATTGCAAGACGGCAGGCGGAGGAATTGCTTACGAAAACTTCTTTCTTTCTTTCTTTTCCTGAAAATGAATGTTTTGGGTCCTTCAAAGAGCGCGCCAGTGTTGTAACTTGAATATGTGAGTGTGGATGTGTGTGAGAGCGTGTGTGCTTATGTGTGTTTTGTGCTGAGATGTAGGCAATGTCACTTGTATGTGTCTATATGTTCACAAGTGTGTGTGGGAAGAGAGTGAAACAAACAAGAATGGGTGTGTGAGTGAATGCCTTGGAGAGAGTAGACAGAGAGAAAGATGGGTATTCATATTCTTTTATACTAAAGTATGTTTGCAGTTTTAGCTTGATAACTGGTCTTTCTAAAGCTCCTTGTATGTTTCTTGATTTTGAAGTATGATACTTTTTATTGTATTGGACAGAGACACTGCAATTTTCCTTTCTGCTTTCAGACATTTTTGTTGGTCAGCTGATGAGTGAGCTCAAGTTTTCTTCCTGCAATCACCGCTCTGTGACCTTTGACCCATTCTGGGACCTATCATTGCCTATCCCCAAGGTAAGTCAAGCAGAAGAAGAGGTTTTTTTTTTCCAAAGTGCTTTTGTTTTTTTGTAGGGTTTTCGGGGAAAGTTTTGGTTTATTTTTAAGTGCTGATCAGCCTTCTAGACGCTGAAATACCTCTTCAAATGTGGCCGTTTTTAGCTTTGTTATTGTAAGAGTTTTATGGCACTTTCAACACAATAAGGTCATATAAGTGCCAAAGATTAGAGGTGTTATAAGAGAGTGACAAACACAAAAAAACAAAAATGAGGAGAAATCAGGACAATAGATGTTTGATTGTAAAGAAGGAGCAAACCACACCAGAGCACCTGCAGCGCACATTTTGGTCTGTGTTAGAATAAAGGTGGGAATAATAAAAAAAGTGGAGACAATGCTGTGACATTGAAGAAATGTCACCTTTGTACATCTGAATGTTTAGGTGGTCATATGTTTTGCTTCAGTGCAAGTATGGCTGCTCCTCTTGTCCCTGTGCAAGAGAGTAAAATCAATCAATTTTTTTTTTATGAGCTCGAAGCATCTGTTTGTATAGAACAGAGTGCATGACGTACCCTTTCAGGGTTTTCTTCAACTTCTTGTGCCTTGCATGGCTCATCTTTCCTGAGCACAGGAGCAGCAAAGTAGTTGAGTCAGGTAGCTCAAAACTTATTTGTTATACAGTGAAGTCCTCTTAAATCCCAGAAGTTTAATCTGAAAACAGCGTTAAACAAAAAAAAACAAACAAAAAACCCCCCCAAAAAGCACCCCCCCCAAAAAACCCCCAAAACAAAAATGAAATCCCCAATCTTTTTTACAAAGAATTTTTTTTTTACCTGAGCAACTTCACTAAACTGAAAACTCAGCTAAACAAAAGAAAGCCAGGCAGTCTCACAGGTTTAGGTTAAAATAGACTCTTCTGCATTTTTTCTCTTGGTAATGGTGATTTACGAGGAATTTACAATTACTGCAGATTTAAGTATAATAATATATGGACTTCACTGTATTTTTCTCACGGCAATAGTGATTCTTTCTCCCTCACCAGGGCAGTGCTACTGACTGAAGTTGTCTTCAGGCCATTCACAAAGGGGGGATATTAACATGCTCATATGCACAGTTGTATTGTAAATGGGCTGATATATCCATGTCATGCTCATACTGTGCTGGAACAACATAGGGGGAACTGCTGCTATTTCTTTCCTCATCCTTACTATCATCATTTTTCCTCTACTTCTTTTGTATATTTGTAACTCTCTTGTGAACTGCTCTTTCCGGGGTGCCTTGATAGTCGAAGCAGACTCTGTTCTGTTGAGGCTAGAGAGGTGAGCAGAGTAAACCTGATTCCCCGTTTGAACTTCTCTGTTGACATCCACCCCTTGGCGCTCATATGACTTTATGCAGTTGCGAGCGCAGTAAAACCTTACAAAAACAACCATAGTGATTTACAAGGAATTTACCTCTAACTTCGTCTTATCTTTGTCTCCTCCCCCCTTCCCCACCCCCTACCCCGGCTTCCATGTGACTGCAGGTGGGCAGGCAGGTGAGCTTGGACGACTGTCTGAGGCTGTTCATGAAGGAAGAGGAGCTCGCTGCGGAGGAGAGGCCTGTAAGTACACTTGTGTGGTTTCTGTCACATGGGCCTGCTAGTCTGTCTGTCTGTCTGTCTGTCTGTCTGTCTGTCTGTCTGTCTGTCTCTCTCTCTCTCTCTCTCTCTTACTTTCCCTCTGTTGTTTCTGTCTGTGTGGGTGGTTGGAGGGTGTCACTGGTAGGTCCTACTTCTTTACTTTACCCTCTGTTGTTTCTGTCTGTGTGGGTGGTTGGAGGGTGTCACTGGTAGGTCCTACTTCTTTACTTTACCCTCTGTTGTTTCTGTCTGTGTGGGTGGTTGGAGGGTGTCACTGGTAGGTCCTACTTCTTTACTTTCCCCTCTGTTGTCTCTGTCTGTCTGTCTTACTTTTCCCCCAGCACTAAATGACCATTGTTGTGTTGATGTGCTTCGTGGGTGGTTGGCGGGTGCTCTGGTGTGGTTTGCTTCTTCTTTCCTATCAAACATCTATCGCCTTTATCTCCCCTCCTTCTTTTTTGTGTTTGTTACTCT